CAAACACCCTTAGAAACGCCAATTTGGGGAAACAGACTGTTAGTTGTAGTTCAGATGAGTAGAAACCAGCCCAAAGATTGTTTCTAGTTCAGCTTCATGGGGTATCAGTGCTGGGTGGAGTCTATGTGGTTCAGAGTCTGATCCTCTAAATTGAAATTCAAGTTGGACAGACATTTATTTAGTGCCAGCTGTATACAGAAGAACCCTGTCTCTGGCACTCAGGGGAGCATAATTAAGCTTGGTGTAATTATGCTTAATTAAGCATAATTAAGGCTGGGCCCCTGCCCTTGTGGACCTCACAGTCTGTTAATAATAAGCCACATTTGTAGAGGGTCTGAAGACTTGTAATTATCCTATGTTATTAATAATAATGGGAAGTCCCACTTTAAAACTTAAAATTTTTGATCCATCAACGCGCTTATTAAGCATCTGTTATGTCATTGGCCCTGAGACTCACAGATAAAAACAAAATGGTTGCTGCCCTCAAGGAGCTTACCTTCTATTTAAGGAAATAACCTGTCTACATATAAGGAGATACAAAGCAAACCCAAGGTCATTTCTCTAGGGGAGAGGGGAATCAGGTAAGGAAGGCTTCATGTAGGAGGTGGTGTTTTGAAGGAAGCTAGACATTCTAAGAGGCAGAGATGAGAAGAGATGGAATTGGAGAAATAGGGGACAGGCTGGCAAAGGCACAGAGACAGACTATTGTATCGTGGGACTGCAAGGTCACCATTTTACAGAAGAGGAAACTGAGGCTGAGAGGGCAAGTCACTTGCCCGATGTCTTACAGGTCCTAAGTAGCAGCCTCTGACGACAAATCCACCACACTTTCCACTGGGCAAGAGTGACGCTATTACTGCTGCTGCTGCTGCTATTACTACTACTGTCATATGTTGTTAATAATAATGATGATTCCCATTTCTATAGTGCTTTAAAATGTATAAAACACATTCACAAAAGCCCATTTTACAGAATAAAAAACTGAGACCCATTAGGAAAGGGACTTGCCTCGGGTTCACCCAGCTAGGACTGGGCCCAGGGTCTGGGCTAGAGGCTTCTGCGGTATCCTTGGGGCCTATGTTCTAACTGCCCTGGCTTCTCTTTCTCCCTCCCTGCCAGATGAGCCTGGCCAGTGTAGACACAGAGGCCCCACTGGCCATGTCCTTGAACCTCTCGAGCCTGGGGCCCAGAGAGCACATCCTGGAGCTTCTGCCTGCATTGGAGGCCCTGGAGAACCGCGTGCTGTACATCATTGCTCACGGCAACGAGGGGGGTTTCTTCCGCATGCAGCACAAGGAGGGCCTCAGCTACCTGCGGCTGGGTCGCAAGAAGCCCGGCCCTGGTGCCTACCAGCTGGAGGTCATGAGTGTGCCCAGGCCACCGGGGGATGAGCTGGAAGAGCGGGCTGGGGAGGGGGGCCAAGCTCTGAGGCTGAAACTGCAGCTACAGCTCCACTAGGTTGGAGGCCCCAGCCCTGACCCTGACCCTGACCCTGACCCTGACTCCCCTGGCCCACATTATCCGTGTGCCCTCCTTCTCCATACACACACACACGCACACACACACACACACACACACACACACACCCCTGTGAATCTTGGGCACTGCCCCACCCCTTTACTCCATACTGTCTTTCCTGCATAGCCTAACCACCCCCCACCCCCCCACCCCCCCTCTCTCCTGTCTGGCACAGCCACTCCCTTTATTCTACCCTGTCCTTTCTCTACTGCCACTGCCTTCAACCCACACAGCCCAAACCACCTGGCCTCCCCTCTTCCTTGCTGAGGCTGCCTTGGGGCCTCTGGAGAGGCCAACCCTGCCCACCTGGCTGGATAGGGCCAGGCTGGAGGCTATAGGATGGGGAGCCTCTAGCCCCTTGCCCAGTTTGGAGCTGTGAGGGCATAGGAAGGGGGAAGTGGAAGGAGAATCGTGTTAAATTTCTTTGGGAATGTGGATCCGGAGACCTGCAAGGGGGAAAGAGAAAGGCCTTTAAGTTCCACCTAGCTCAGGCTCTGCTTTTTTCTTATCTTGGTGCTTCTCCCCCAGTATTCCTAAGGGCCTGATTCTCCACCGCCACCACTGGACATCAGCCATGAGATCTGGGAGTTCCGAAAGGCAGCCCCCGATTGCCCAAGCTCACTCAGAGCTGCCCTCCCTCAGACATGCACACACCTGCGCTGTCTCCTCTCTCCCCAAAGGTCCCGTCCATCTCCCATCTCTCACCAGTTTGTCTCTTCATTCTTATCCAACCTGTGTTTACTGTATCTTGGTTTATTCTCAGACTTGAAAAATGTCTGTATCGCACTGAGGCCGGCCCCAGGGAGTCAGAGGGTCAGGGGCCGGTTTCTGAGGGAGCTTCATTCAGACCAAAGGAGCTTCATGTGAATGCCAGTCCTGGGAGCTCCTCAAGGCAGCTGGGGGTAGGGATCGGGGCATCAGGCTATTAGCGAAAAGAAGCCAGATTTGGGGGCATGTGTGTCCCCATCCCCGTCTCCCACCCCCCACCCTACCCCTCCCCGGCCAGGAAGGCTGGGGCAGGGCTCTGGGGACCCTGTTTTGTATTAAAAGAAATGGCAACAATAAAATTATTTTGGGTTAAGTCTGTCTGCTTGTGAGTCCTTGGTGAAGCCTCTGATCTCACTCACTCTGTGTACCCTGCCTTCATCATTCCACTACACCTGCCACATTTCTTGTCTCCCATCCAATGCCCAGTAATGATATTGGCTGACTCAAGAGGAAAAGAGTCAGTTCCCTGTCTCTACAGGTGACTAAGTGGACGCCTGGAGACCACGTGGTATGTTGAGGATGAGTCTCCTGTTCAGATATGGGTGAGATTAGGTGACCTCTGCAGTCCCTTCCGACTTGGAGAATGTATGTTCTAAGGGCGTCCCAAGCTCCACAACATTCTAAGTCCCTTCCCAATCTCAGGTGCTGTGTTCTAGCTCTTTTCGAAGGTCCCTTCGCCACTCCAGCATTCTATCTGTAGGGGGAGGGCAATTTGATTCCCCATTCCCTCAACTCACTCAGGATGTGGTTGCAGATGATGAAGTTTTAATGGGTTAACAAAGCATTAAAAACTCTTCAAAGTATAAATCTCTCTATGAAGTGTGAACCCCTTTCTCTGATGAGTCATTAGTGAAAATTGGTTGTGTCTTTGCAAGGCTATAAATAGCTGAAACAGGAAGAGTTAGAGCTGCTTAATTCTGGAGGCTGATGGCAGGAGCCAGCAGTCGGGGAAGAAACCAACTCTTCAGTGGGGGGAGGGGAACAGGGGAAAATTCTCTCTTTCCTTCTCCCTCCCCATTGGCTATCAGGAGCTACTCACCCAGAAAGAGATACCCTACTCTATCCAGCTGCTGTAGAGTTCATTTAAGAGAGTTGGAGGCGCAGTTGAGGAGACACACTCTAGATAGACATAGATACAGATAGGCAGTCCCCAGAAGGAGGAAATAGCTTTGAGGCAAACGAAAAGAGAGGGACCAGAGAGGGAGCTAGCCCTGGCAACTGAAAGTTGGGCTACAGAAAGTACTATAAGGGGCAGCTGGGTGGTGCAGTGGATAGAGCTCCACCCTTGGAGTCAGGAGGACCTGAGTTCAAATTCGACCTCAGACACTTGACACTTACTAGCTGTGTGACCCTGGGCAAGTCACTTAACCCCGATTGCCTCAAAAAAAAAAAAGTACTGCACAAGAATAGAAAGGACTTGAAGGCCAGCCATGTGGGAAGAATGGATATTCTTGGCCACATTTTGGCCTCACTTCAACTGTACTATGTGCCCTCTATTTTCAAATATATTATGTATATTTTTAAAAGGTGAACCCCAATTTGGGGTGACGGGAACATTTAATAGTTCACCGTTCCTACTCGTTGTGTCTACTGGCTGACCATTAATGGGAAGCACACCAAGTGGGGCTCATGAACTATAGGAGTGCAGAGGGGGCAGCTAGGTGGCACAGTGGATAGAGCACCGGCCCTGAAGTCAGGAGGACCTGAGTTCAAATCCGGCCTCAGACCAAACACTTGACACTTACTAGCTGTATGACCCTGGGCAAGTCACTTAATCCCAATTGCCTAAAAAAGAAAAAAAAGGAGTGCAGACCAAAAGGTTTAACCTTCAAACTGGAGGTAGCAACTACCCTCTGGGGTCTCAATCTTTGAGAGCAAGTTGGGTGAGTAGCCTAGGGAAGGTGTTCTTTGTGTTCTGTATTTTAAGGTTCCTTCCATCTCTGAGTAAGTGACTTACTTAAGGTTTTACAGCTAGTATGGGACAGAACCAGGACTAGAACCGAGGGGCTGGAACCTGCCATGATCCTTGGTTCAGATGGACGCCAAATAGATGGCATTTACTCTACTGATCCTAAATACAATCAATCCCTCTGTCCCATTAGTCAATCCAATAGGTGCGAGGCGGTATCTCAGAGTTATTTTTAATTTTCATTTCTCTAATAAATAGTGATTCAGAGCATTTTTTCATGTGACAATAGATAACTTTGATTTCTTCGTCTGAAAATTGCCTGTTCATATCCTTTGACCATTTGTCAATTGAAGAATGACTTGTATTCGTATAAATTTGACTCAGTTCTCTACATATTTAAGAAATGAGGCCTTTATTGGAGATACTTGCTGTAAAATTTTCCCCCAATTTTCTACTTTCCTTCTAACCTTGGCTACACTGGTTTTGTTTGTAGAAACACTTGTTAATTTAATGTAATTAAAATTATCCATTTTACATCCCATAATGCTCTCTACCTCTTGTCTTTATCCCTTTATGTCTAAACCATGTATCCATTTTAATCTTATCTTGGTACAGTGTGAGACACAATCAATTTTTCAACAAACATGTTTCCCATACAACTAGTAAATAGCTGAGTCAAGACTTGAATACAGTTCTTCCTATCCCAAATCTAGTGTTCAGGAAACAGTGAGTGGGCTGGTTTCACTGTAAATACTGTGATGGGGAGTGATAGGAAATGTCCAGAAAGGCAAGTAGAAGCCAGATTGTGGAGGGCTTTAAATGCTAGGCTTGTCCTTGAAGCTCTAGGGAATCATGGAAAATTTCTGAGTAGTGGCGAACTTCGTGGATCCTGCAAAAGAAAAAAATAAAGAAATAAAGAGAAAAGAGAAAAAGGGTGAGCACATTCCAGTAATAGTAATTCTCCTTCACCCTTTTTTTTTTAATTTTAAAAAGTCTTTTATTTTTCCCAATTATATGTAAAAAAAAATTAACATTTGTTTTTTTAAATTTTGAGTTCCAAATTTTCCCCCTCCACAAATCCCCTCCCCACTCACTGAGAAGGCAAGCAACTTAATATAGGTAAGATGTGTGCAGTCATGCAAAAGATATTTCCATATCTGTCATGTTTTGAAAGAAAACACAGCCCAAAATAAAAAGAAAAAATTTGGTTTTTTTTTTTAAGTGTGCTTCAATCTGCATTCAGACTCGCATCAGTTTTTTCTCTGGAGATAGATAGCGTTTTTCATCATGAATCCTTCAGAATTGTCTTAGATCATTGCATTGATCAAAACAGCTAAATCATTCACAGTTGTTAATCCTTACAATATAGCTATTGCTATATGCAATGTTCTGGTTCTGCTCACTTCACTTTGTATCAGTTTATGTAAGTCCAGATTTTTTTGAGAGTATCCTGCTCATCATCCATAGCTGCTGCAGGCCTCAGTCTTATCCTTTCCAGAGGAGGCTCCTTCCTCTCTCCCTCTAACCCTTCTGAGTCCCTGGGTGGAAAGTAGGGGTCCAGGAAGGGAAATAACCTGAGCTGGTTGGGGTCAAAACAACTGGACCACCAGGCATGAGAACTGGCAACCTTTCCGACATTCGAATAGAAACTTCACAATCTGCTCTTCCCCAACACAACTTCTTGCCCCAGCTTTCTGCCTACCTGAGACATGCTCCAGCCTCATCTAGTTCCTACTAGCGCCATGTACTCGATGGGCCTGGACACCCTGGGCCAAGGGCCTGGTTGAATTGGTGATGTTTCCTGGGGAGACAGAGGACAAAGTGAGAGACAGAGGGGAGAAGAGGAGGTGGTACCTAGCATTAGAGTAGAGCAATGATAATGTCAAGGGATGGTGGAAGGGCATAAGACTCAGAGTTAGAGCTAAAAAGGACTTTACAGAGGTTCTGTTTTACTTGTTTTTTCTCAATGGGAAGGGGGTAGGAGGTCAAATGGGAATAAGGATAAAGTAAAAAAAAAAGGTCAGTGAGGTAGGTGTGTGTGTGTGTGTATGTGTGTATAATATATATTACATATGTATAATATATATATTTTATATATATATATTTGTTGTTGCTGCTGTTTTTGTTCAGTTATTTCATTTGTGTGTGATTCTTAATGACCCCATTTGGGGTTTTCTTGGCAAAGATGCTGGAGTGGTTTGCTATTTCCTTCTCCAGTTCATTTTATAGATGAGGAAACTGAGGCAAACAGGGTTAAGTGATTTGCCCGGAGTCACAGAGCTAATAAGTGTCTGAGGCCAGATTTGAACTCTTGAAGATGGATCTTTCTGACATTCTATGCACCATACCACGTGATTGTGTGTGTGCGTGTAGATAGATAGATAGATAGATAGATATGTAGGGAAGTAAATAGATATGTAGATAGAGATATACATATATACATATGTATATATACACATATATGCATAACATACATATACACACAGAGACAAGCAGAACATATTTGAAAGCTGTAAGTTGAGTTTATTAAATGCATATTAAGAAAAGCCAGCTGTCCAAAATAGGAACCTACAGTTCCCTGTGCAATCCTCTCTTTTTGTTTCATCCTGTTGTATATATCCAAATGTCCAAATTCTATTTGGTGGTTGCTAAGTTCAGAATAGAAAAATGAGGAGATGATAGATAGATAGATAGATAGATAGATAGATAGATAGATAGATAGAT